ATATATATATATATTCGACTCGATTTCGACGGAGAGGTAAAATGAACGATATTTTTTCTCTCTCTCTCTTTTTCTCCGTTTGCCCTCTTACAAACGTTGTCGAGGATGGTTGAAAAGTCAATGGTGGTTTGAGACTTGTTGGAGGAGACTACTCTACGTCAAAAAAAAAAGGAAAGGACTCGCCGTTTCGATCGGATCTCTTGAAAGAATCGCGTGTGAAAAAGTGCATGCGTGTATGTATGTATGTGTGTGTGTGGTGCAAAGGCCGACTTGGGACAAATCCCCGGTCTACTAGGATTCCGAGCAATCGGTTTCCGGCCAAAAGAGATTCGAATCTCGGGTAAACAGGAAAGAGAGAGAAAGAGAAAAAGAGAGGCCCCCCTTCCCCCTACCCAAAGATTATCGAAGACAACCCGTTCGAATTCTCCCTCTCGTGAAATCTCCTCTCGAAGATTTTCGATCGATCGATCGATTCTTCTTCGAAAATGGAACGCGTTGGCCGCGCGAATTAGACAAGAGGCAGGATACAACGCGATACAATGGATCACGAAGGAGAAACGTAGCGTAGGAGAAGGGTGGGTGGACGTATGCGCGCCGTTCCACTTTCGAAACGCGGCCGTGCGCGCCATTCTCGGAAATTTCGATTCTCTCGCGGATCTCTCGTGGACGGAACGACGAGAGGTTTATGAGTTTGGCGGGCGCTGAGTGGATTAAAAAAAAGGGCGTGGAACGGAGCTCCGCTAATTCGCCACGCGATACTACGCCCTGAATTATTCCTCTCGCGAGCCATAGAGACAGAGAGAGAGAGAGAGAGAGAGAGTAGATGGGAGCAACGGGAATCGATTTAATAAAAAAAAATATATATAAAAAAAAATGAAGAGAAACAGAGAGAGAGTGGTGGACGACGACCCCTTTCAATCGATAACTTTTTATTTAAATTTTCATTGTTCGTTAATGGAAACGCAACGCGCGGCTGTGTGTTTCGCCCGTGTGCAACGGAAAGAGGGAAGGGGAGGGGGGACTCTTTATCGATCTCCTCGTAGCTCACGCCTCGTATATTACGCGTCGCGTGCTCTGCCTCTTCCGCGAGATAAATCTGCCCGTTGCTCGCGCCGTCAATCTCTCCCCCTCTTCCCCTCTCGCCGTGCTCGCCGCTCTTTTCACCAGCCGTTCAGCAATTTCGGCGGCTAATTATCTGTAATTTCGCGATCGGGAAGAAGAGATACGTGTCACCTGGCCTTCGATGAATATCGAAAGGGACGTAAGGGTAGGGTGAAAAAAAGTGCTATTTCATGATTTTCTTTTTCTTTTTTTTTTTTTTTTTTTTTTTTTTTTTGTTCTTTGAATAGAGAGAAAAAGTTGCATCTGCTACTTTGTAAGTTCAATGACGATGACATCGACATTTTATTTTTTTCTTTTCTTTTTCGATATCGAAATTTATCTTCTTCGATCAATTTTTGCGTTATACGTGCAGACGCGAAATGACGTGCAATTTTCTCCCTTCTCTCTCGACCGAATAATGTATATAATTACTTTTCTTCTTCTTTTTTTTTTTTCTTTCGAAATTAAAAATCCACATATCACGGCGCGCGCGCATTACTTGAACACACATTCAAGAGTGGATGATATAAAAAAAAGGGCAAAATTTAATTGAAGTTGAAGTTGCTAAGAATAAAGTTGCTTCGACAATTTTTTTTTTTTTTTTTTTATTCAAAGCATCGAGTCACCGTATAAATAACTTTATACAGCGGCTTTATACAGGCGAGCTTATATATAAGATATACGTATCGATCACAACGAAGCTACGAATAAAAACGTTGTTCGAAGTAATTATTTAAAGTAACTTTATCATTATTTTTAACCGGTTATTTTTTCTTTCTTTTCTTTTTTTCTTTTTTTCAATCGTCCACTCACGAAACCATAGGATAAAACCGCAAATACAAACGATACATCTAACTAACATCTATGTAAAGAGAAGACGAGAACGGATAGAGAAGAGTGCACGATCGTGACCTGTTGATCACGTACATAATAGACGAGAAAGATCTCTCATTATATTCCCCGTTCAAATCGAGGTTTCGAGTTAAACTCGCTCGGCTCAACCGATTTAAAACGATTCTTAGAGAGAGAGAACGAGAGAGAGGGAGGGAGAGAGAGAAGGGGAGGGAGGGGATGCGCCCGTTGAACGCGTTACGAAATCATAGCTCGAGTTTCTCTCTGTCCGTTAGGGCTCTGTCTCGCAACCTCCGGAGCCATGGGAATCCTGATAAATATCTCATTTCTCCGAGGCGAGTCGATAGGACGGCGGGAGGCTTGTCGCGGGAGCGGGTCGCGAGGGTGATCGATGGAACGTGACCGGGTCAGAGGGTTAATTAGTTTCCGGCTGGCGTGCTAAAAAATTCGAGCGTGTCGAGGGTCGAGGGTCGAGGGTTCGTCGCCAAGTTTCGAGCTTTCAACCGAGATCGTCCACAATTATCGTACTCTACTCCACACCGATCCCATTCCGGCTTTGGAAAAATTCGTTATTTTTTCCCCCTTCTTTTTTTTTTATCCCAATTTTGGAATTTTTTTTTTTTGTTTTTTCCGTCTCTGTTTTTTCTATATTTCAAATTTTCAAACGAAAAATGCCATCCAACGTTTTCCGTTGGGTTGGAACGTTTTTTTTTTTTTTTTTTTTTGAATTGGAAATGTTTCCCGTGTTTGCGAGAGACACGTGAAAAAAAATATACGAAAAAATACATCTTTTCCTTCCTTTTTTAATCAAAAAAAATACAAGTTCGAATCGACGCGTTTCCGTGATATTTTAGATTTTTCGGGAATTTTGACCTAAAAGAAAGTTCTAACTTTGGATATCTTTTTTCTCCCAAGAAAGAAATTGTTCGACTCGATGTTTTTGCTTCGCGTTTGTAAATCAAAGGAAAGAAAGAAAAGATAAAGATACGAAGGCAACTTCGACATGTTGTATCTGTCGCGACGCAACCGTGAAAATCGTTTACAATGGGAACGAGCGTAAATCGGAAGAGTTTCGTCGCTCCGAGAGAGAAAAACGCTAGAGTAAGGAAGGAAGGAAGGACGTAATCCTAGTTTGCCTAGGTGTATATCAAAATAAAAGTCGGGGCCAAGACAAGGGTTTGGACGAAAAGACGCGTACGTGTACGGCGATAAAAATAAATAATACAAGGCGCCAGACGTATCGATCCGGCCTTTTGCGCTCTCACCAGCCTCCGCGGAACTTGAGGAATTCCCTTGGCTCGCGTATAAGCTAACAAGGGGGCGGCAAACTGCTAGGCCCTTTGTTCGCCGGTTTTTGGTCATCGACACGCCGACGAGATTAAACGAATTCGAACGC